CGCATACTTACCAGGGAATCCAGGGGAGCGAGAGTAGGGGACGAAAGGATGGCGGTTGAGTGGTGGGTGGGGGATAGGTGGCCGGCCATGCGCCCCCACTGCGACCGTCTGGCCTCTCGGCAAAGCCTCAGGCTTGACAGCAAGTGCAGCAGACAGCACCATTGGCCCCGCAGACGCAGCCTTTTTGGCAGCGACGCTCATCTGTGTGCTCCTGGGGCCATTCGCCTCATGTCCACCACTGGTGGCGTGTGGCTTGTACATATGGAGCACCGACGCCTCATGTCCACGTCTTAGGGGGTGCGTCGGGGATGGCAGCGGGGGAACAGGCTGGTTTCTGAGCGCTTGTCGGGCCATTTGGCTGAGCCTCATGTCGGTTTGTGTGGCGATGCGCGAGGGGGCGGGCGGAGCGGGGGAGGGCATCGACTGCAGCAGGGGGGACCGGTAGGCCATCAACTCACTCACGCGAGGAATCTCTTGACGCGGCTGGGGGGCCGTCTGCTCCTCCTCAGGCTCCGTGTCGGGCCGCTCGACGCCCTTCGTCAGGTGTATCGGCTGTGCAGTCGGCTGCGTATCCCCTGGCTGCTTGTCGGACTGCGCCATTGTCTGCGGTTCTGGCTCCTCAACACTGCTGCGGGGTGCTGATGTGACACTGAGGGCGGCGTGGAAGGGCACCGCCTTAGAAATGCTCACCCGCTGGCCGCTGCCGGCCACCAGCCGCTCTCGCTCCCTCTCTTCGATTTCGTCCAGTTTGGGGCCGGTGATGAATCCCTCATCGTCTGATGTGTCGTCGTCATGGGTGCCCTCAGAGGATCGACGTCTGTCCTCGGCACTCACACCCGCCGGCCGACCCCCAACGCCAAATGGCACTGTCTTGACCAAGATGCGGGGCAGCGACTTGGCCTTGCTGCGGCCGGTGTTGGCTGTGATTTGCGTGACACTTGGGAGGGACTTGCGCTGGGGGGCGAGGTGCTCGTCGAGGGACTTGCCGACGTTGGTCGTGAGTGTCAGGTGGATCGGTAAGTCATCGAGGCCAGCGTGCGTGCGGCCAAGTACTGGACAGAAAGAGAGACATGCTAATTAATTTAATGAGACACAGCTAGGCTCTTCCTTGTTTGATAAGTCTGTACCTGATGCCCGCCAGAACGGTGTGGCTTCATTCTCGGGTGTGGCCAGTGACTGCTCCAGGGTGCGCGCGGCTCCACTCTGGTTCAGGTCGATCACCTCACCCGACAGTGACAGCTTCCCACCCGTCTTCCCGGCGATCGCCTGCCCTCTCAGCTCCTCATCGGCAAGGGCGGCCTTGGATGGATACGTGCACGTCCGTCGGGGCGGCTTCGGCACCCGCAACGCGTCGCCCTCTGTCCCCCCGCTGGCCGGCAGGAACGTCATTGCCCCTGGCGAGGACATACTCTTCACCGGTCTCGCAGCGGTCGACACGTTTCTGCGGTCGCCGGCGAGATGGAAAGGTGTGGGGGCTGCCGACTGTGCGAGCGGGAAGGACGGGGCGGCATCGGTGTCCAGCAGGTCGAACAGCTGCTGCCTGACCTGGTTCTTGATGCCCTTCATCATCTTGGCGCGGTCGTGCGCATCGATGAAGCCCCCGGTGGTGAATTCCTCGTCTGATGACTGCTGCGACTCATACGAGGGACGGAATGGCGGCAGTGGCTGAAGTGGCGGCGGTGGCTCGTTTGTCATGAAGTCCATGAAAGAGGGGGTCGCGCGGGGAGGCTCGGGCTCCTCCTCCTTGTATGCGTCATGGATGACCTGCTGCGGGACAGCCTCGCCTTCGTCGTCGGCATTCTCATCCTCACCGTGAATGTCATCCCCACCCAGCTCATTGTTCTCTTCCTCCTCATTCATGGGATCTTGCTGGAAGGCCCCATGACCCCCCGCCTCCTCGTCTTTGCGGAGAGGCAACCCTGTCTGCTGCTTCTCCTCTTCTTCATGTGAAATCTCCACCTCCTGGCCAGCGTCTGGCAGCAGAGCAGTATCCTCAGTATCCACCAGCGGCTCGTCTTCTGCCTCTTGCTCTTCACCGCCGAGGTCCTCCCGGCCGCTTTGAGCAGAGTCGTCTTGTGCATCTGGAGAAGCGATGGGGTCTTCATGGCTGGCACCCAGCGGCGACGACTGCTTTGACCTGACGGATGCGGTCCTCTCGCTCTCGTGCAGGACGTCCTGCTGACTTTGCCCCAGAGACCGCCGATGGCCGCTGCTCTGCTGACTCTGCCCCAGAAGGTCCACAGGAGCCGGGCCTGGCTCCTCGCGGCTCCGTCCACCATGTGAGTGAGCAGATGTCCGCGAGTCTCCCAGCCGCTCCTTCCCGTTTCCCCCCTCACTAGCCAGGCTCTCATGGAGGCTGCCGCGCACTTCCGTGCCGTCATCGTCTCTGCTTCGTCCGAGTGAGCCTTCTTGGCTGCGGCGTGTCGGCGTCTGTCGGCTCAGCCTCAGGGATGCCTCTTGACTGCCTCCGATAGACACCAATCCGCTCTGCCGGCCCTGAGAGAGAGACATCTCGAAGCTCTTGTTCTGGGCCTCCAGGGTGTCCTGGTGAGCAAGGTCGACCACCAGAATGCCGCCTGGGGGTCCTTCCTGGCCCTCGTCGCGGGGAGACTCCTCCTCAACAAGCACCTCCTCGATTTGCACGTCGTCGATTAGGCTGCGGTCGATGAGGATGTCATCATAGGCGGCCCTCTCGCTGTAGTGAAGGGTGTCTTCTTGCGACTGTCCTGCCGACCGCCTGGCAGTACTCGGACCGCTCTGACGCAGCGACTCCCTCTCGCTCTGGCCCAGCAGGTCTGTTTCTTCGCGGCTCCTTCCCGGAGGCGGGAGAGATGTGTTGGAGAGAGGGGATTGCTGGGGAGGCAGGTCGTGGCTCTGTCTGCTTTCTCCCCGGCCGTCACCGAGCCCCAGCAAATCCTCGTGTGGCGCCAATGACTTGTCTTGGCTGAAATGAAGGGATCCTGTCTCAGGGCAGCTTTGATCTTCCAGCTTCGCTGAGCCACCTAGACGGCTTTTCTGCAGAGACGACCGCTGAGTGCCATCGAATGGAAGGGACGGACCTCCATAATGAGAATCTTCCTTGCTCTTTCCCAGTGAATCGCCTGCCATTGTCAGCGAGGGCCCCTGGTCTCTTGGTGCCGAGGTAAGAGTGTCGCCCAGATGCCCTGAGGATGAAGCGACGGCTGTAGGGGGACCCTCAGCAGTGTCTCCGTCAGAAACCAGTCGATACGGCCTACACACAACACACAGACACAAAGCGAGCACCAAAGGACTGTGTCCGGCCTGCCCCTGCTTCTGTCTCCACCAAGCCAAGCTGCACGAGAAAGGGGGGACGGAATGGAGGGAGCTCACCTCTCCAGTGTATCCAGAACAGTGATGAACAGGTCTGAGTTCTCCCAGGCAGACGATACACGCAGGACCTCGGGACCAGCTGCAGAAGACAGGGCTGTGAGTAACCCGAGAAGGACGAGGGAAGCCCAGTCCACCGCTTGTGTGGGTACCAAGTGCGAGTCTGATGGCCTGACCGACGGGATGGTCCTCCTCGACGCGCTGCCGCAGTGCCTGCCAGTACGACGCAATGTAGGGGCAGTGTCGCATATGACGCAGCAGACCTGCGCAGCGATCCAGAGAGAGGCAGGCTGACTTCCTTTTTGCCTGCACACAGGGCCCTCCCGTCGATTCTCACTCACTTCTGGGGTCTTCCTCGTTCCTGTATTCCTGGCACATTGCCATCAGGGCCTTCTTGGGCGATTCAGGTGGGGTGTAGAAGTCAGATGCACCCGACCGAGCCGTCGGAGGCCCTTCACCCTCCGGGGGCGCAAGAGCACCACTGCTGCCCTTGGGGCTCAAGTTGATGACCGCTCGGCTCTGAGCGAGAAGCACAATGAAATGGCGACAAGTTGTTGTCATGGTCGAAGGCTGACTGCTCACTTCTGTTTCCTTGACAATGTGGTAGGCCAGGAAGTGGAAGGCTACGATGTCCATGACGCGAGCAGCGCTGAGTTCTGCCAGCTCCATCGTCATCTCCCACAGCAGCTGACCTGACGCCTCCCCTCCAGGGCTCGCCTGCCCTGCCATGTCCCCACCCGGGCTCGACACCATCCCGCCCCACCTGAACTTGCCGGTCCTGTCTCGTGCAGTGGCACTGGTGGAAGGCCTCGTGCGGTCACTGTTGAGAGAGGCAGCCAGCAGGGGCGGGATGCGGGGACGAGAGGGGTCTGTCTGAGCCAGCAGAGAGGACCGCTGAAAAGGGGGAGGGGCACACTCTGACGCTTCCTTGTCTGCTTGCGGGTCCTCTCTGCCGTGGGCGGGACGGGGAGACGGCCGCGAGAGCGCTCCCGCATCCTCACCTGAATCGGCACACAACCCAATGCCAAGCGCCCCCCCCCCCCCC